ATTCTTCAATTCTCTCTCAAGCGCTTGATTACTCGCTCTCGGCTCAAGCTTGTAACAACTAACAACGAGCCTCATATTTCAGACGTGGTAACATCCGCTTGACTTGATCGATGGACTTTACTTAACAACGCGGGACGGTTGGAGGCACGAAAGTCGCAATATTTGGTTCATATGAAAATGGTAGTATTACAGTCTGGAAGCCAGGACACGAGTCGAGCCCTCATATCCAGCAAAATGTTCTATGGCTCGGCGAAGAAGATGCTTCCGTGCGATCTTTCGTGTCGCCAGGAGAACCCCATTCGGGAGAAGAAGAATCATGCGATGCCTCTCCTGGCAATGGTATAATCAAATTGCGGCGGCGTAATAGCCACTGGGAGACAATGGGTTAAGGGACTCGGAGAGGCGCGCTTAGAGGAACTTGCGGGCGAAGTCGATGGCGAAAGGAGCTACCTTATCATCAGCGATTGTCTTCCTATGCATGCTGCGTACCTCCTGCATCGCGAGACACCAAACAGGACATCGGGATGATGCGGTTGCCACCGGACTTACACAGGTAGAGAAGAACACCACCAAGAACCGCCATCTGGACGGTCTGGCTAGCCTCGATCTCACCAGCCTATGAGTCAGTCAGAGATTGTCCAAAAGAGAAGGAACCATGTTCTGCGACTCGTATACGTACGCGGATCTCCTCCTTGGAGAGCTGTTCTTGGCCTGGATATTCAACATAGTCGCATGGTCAGTAAAATGGGCGATGAAGGCTTCACGATTGGCCAATCGGATGATATCAAGGACCACGTAGAATCAAATGCTTTCGGTGCTTATCACACTTACCGGGAGCAAACATTTTGATTGGTATGTATTGAGATTGTAAATCAGTGGTGAGCAGTGACGAAGTTGAAATGAAACTGATTAGAGGTACAGCCCGCGGCGCGGAACTTGCCTTGACCAGGCAAAATAAATCACGGGAGCACAGACCCACATCCTCGCCTTCGCCGATGTCCACCCCCAAGCTCACATCAATCAACTCCACCATTTCCATGAAAACAGCCTCAACGTTTACATCTTCGCTAGAACCTCAAATTCTCGTTCCTGCACTCTGAAGGAGTTGCGCTCCCTCAATACCTGGTCTTGTTGATCGATCGCCACTTGCGGTTCGGCTTTCGCTGGGCCCCCAGAAGCTGCCATTGGAAAACCACCGCGCTGTGGTCTTGTAACTCAGTCGTCGATACGACCAAGTCGCTTTCTCTCACTTCGACGCCCTCTCTTATCAGCAACATAAACCAACTTTCACTCCCCTACTTTCGCAACCACCTCGATCCATCACACAAGAAATATGTCCGCCTCACCTGAGCACCAGGCTGGCCCAGGTGCCGCTTCACCCGAACCTGAGGAAGTGCCCACTCCTGCCCTTGACACCAACGAGACACCTGAGGATCAGGATAACGATGATGAGGGTGGTATTTCTGACGATGAGTCGATTCTCTCAGAGGTCGACGAGGCGCAGTTCGAAGACTTCAACCCTGAAACTGTGGACATCGAGGATCGTCCCCAGCTGGCTATTGACGAAGATAACCTGAAGCTTATCGGCCGTCACAAGCGCAAGCGTAGCGAAGAAGGCGAGGGCCGTTCCTCGCGCCGCAAGGAAGGACGTCGCGAGAAGAAGAATCGCCGTGCGCAAGACGATGCGGAGGAGGGGCCGTCTCGTCGCAGGGCTGCGAGGAAGGCATCTCCCTCTACAGATGAAGAGACTTTGGATCCTGAGACCCGTGAGTGACATCGTCCTCGTGCTGGAACTCATATTGTGATTGTGCGCTGACGACATAATCATTAATAGGTCGCCGCCGAGCTATCGACCGTGCCATGGACGAGGCCATCAAGAAGCCTGGCAAGAAACGTTCCCGAAAGCAGGATGGAATTGTATGTTTTGTCCACAACACGCTTCTTTCAACTCAACCCGAACTAACATGTTGTTTCACTAGGACCTCGAAGCCATAGCTGATGCTGAAATCGAAGAGATGCGCAAGCGCATGACCACCGCTGCACAACTGGACGCCATCAGTCGCCAAGAGGGCAAGCCAGCCATGCACAAGCTCAAGCTCCTTCCCGAGGTGGTCATTCTTCTCAGACGGGAGAAGTACATGAACAGCTTGGTTGATCCTGAGATCAATCTTCTCGAGGCCGTTCGCTTCTTCCTCGAACCCCTCGATGACGGGTCCCTGCCCGCCTACAACATTCAATTCGAGCTGTTGACTTGCCTTGCTAAACTGCCAATCCAGAAGGACGCTCTGATTGCGAGCGGAATTGGAAAGGTCATGATCTTCTACACGAAGAGCAAGCGCACCGAGCGAAAGATTAAGATTATGGCAGAGAAGCTCCTTGCGGACTGGACGCGGCCAATTATTCAATGCAGTGACGACTACCACAAGCGCGTCTATGAGACGGCTGATTATGATCCAACGTATGTATTCGACCCAGCTCAAACAAAGCTTTTCGTATCATTTTCACTGACAATCATTCCAGCAAGGTGGTCAAGCGTAGTCAGCTTCCTCCCGAGGTCCTTGCGAAGGAGGCTCGTGAGCGCGCGAAGCTTCCTCCCCGTCTTGCTAATCGTGCGCGCAGAGAACGTGTCCACGTCAGTTACACTATTGCGCCTCGATCGGTCGCTGTGCAAGAGAGCAAGTTTGCGCGACCTTTGGGAAGCGGTGGCGAGGATCGATTCCGTAAAATGCAAGCCCGCCACGATGCGTCGCAAAAGGGAGCTCGCAGCAAATATGGTCGGATTGACTAAAAAGTTTCCTACGATCGCGCTTCGGCCTTTGTGGTTTGAGTCTAACCGTCGGGATTTGCATCTGGTTGCCTGACTGATGGCTCCCGTTTTTGATCGCTATTTTCTTTTTTTACATGGTCCGGCGTTCGGGAGGGATCGGGGAGCTTTTCTTAATCCTGGGTTTCAAATGGTCTCGTCAGCATGAGAAAAATGAAAACCTCCAAATGTGTACTTTTATGTGTTAGACACAATTCCGCCCAAGTGGGAGTCAAAAAAATATCTTATTAGTAAAGCAGTTCACACTGAATACCTCGGGCACCTCATCGCCAATCTATTCAGTGAACACACGACGTCATTGCCCTGTTGGCGGTTTCGACGTTCTTCTAGGCTGTCCAGTCTCTGACCCAGCGTGCATCCGAGCTTTGACCGAATCCGTACTGTTTCTCCGGCCGATCAATCGCCGTCTGCCGGAGGTGCCGTGGATGCCGGTGCCGTCACGCTGGAGCAGATCCCGCATGCTCACGTCATTCTTAAAGCCTCCAGCGCCCGCGGTCGTTACATTCTTGATCGATTCCACATCTCCCAATCTTCACCGACTCCGTATAATTATCCAATCTTTCTCTCTCTCCTCATTGACTATCTCCTGCTTGGTATATATCATCTTCAAGCACGTCCACACATTCATCATCACACAATGAAGTTGCTCACCAAGGAAGAAGAAGATGCGCACTACCGGTACGACTCATCTCGATGAGCGCAAAGATCTCTGCTTGGCTCCAGACTGACTAGATTTCCGTTTTTTTTTTTTTTTAGCAATGTCGTCAAGGGCGGCACCGTGGGTGGTATCGTCGGTCTCATGGCCGGCTCTGCAGGCGTCCTGCTCGCCTCTCGCCGATACCACACTATCCGCAATTTGACCATCCCTATGAAGGCCTTCCTAGTCACGTCCTCGGGAACCTTTGTCGGTATTATCGCTGCCGACCACGCCTCGCGAGACTTTGAGAAATCACAGAATGCTGCCAAACAATGGTACGAGAGCCGTGAGGATCGTCTACAGGCCGAGGAGATGCGCGGTATGAGCTTCACGGACCGCGCTCTTGCTTTTGCTCGTCGTGAAAAGTACAAGATTGTCGGCGCCACGTGGGTGGCCTCCATGATCGGCTCTTTCGTTCTTGTCGGTCGCAACCCTTATCTTTCCGGTCAGCAGAAGATCGTCCAGGCTCGTGTGTACGCACAGGGTCTGACCTTGGCTGTGCTGTGCGCCTCGGCCGCCTTTGAGATCTCCGATCAACGTCGCGGCAAGGGTATCCTCGAGTCGGCTAAAAAGAGCAAGAAGTCACAGGTCGAGGATGCCGCTGAACCTGCCCCGGTTCACTCTCAGAACAACGACCAGGCCGACCTCTGGAAGGACATGGTTGCTGCTGAGGAGCAGCGCCTCAAGTCCAAGCACCAGTCATTGCATATTCACCGCGATGATAACAAGGACGAGGCTGAGAACAAGGATGAATCCAGCGAAGAGTCAAAGGACGAGTCCAAGGGAGAAGCCAAGGAGAACAAGAAGGATGCCTCGTCTGGGAAGAAGAACGAGGGTGAGAAGAAGGCCTGAGATAGCTCTTTGCAAAAGGAGGGCTGCCTCTCGCTCGGTTCTCACGACCGGTGAACCCAATAATCAAAGTATACATGTGCCTTGCCATGTCGCCTGCTATGACAATCATTTGATTCCTTACCGGGCGCGGGCATTGTATAACCCTGAGAACCAACATGGGCACTACTTGCCATTCCCTGGTCTCATCCCGGGGAGCTAGGGACGGATGGCATCGACCAAGTTCCGACCATCAGTATCACATCTCGCCAACATTCAATTCGTCGTCTCTTCTTTTCCTTGTCTGCTCCCTCCCTCGGACTTTTTAAAATCGCAGCTGGAGCTGGATGTTGACTCTAATCACCTTTGCTTCACATGTATGATATCTCACAAAAGCAGAACTGGTGTTCTGGCTGTCCCATCAAGCGTTAATAATGAATGCATTAATCATGATCAGTACTTTTTTGCATTGTAGCTTTGCAGTTACCCACCTCAGCTCGGTAGATTATCTTTGTATCAAGATCAAGTTGCATGTCCTCCAGTTTAGAGGAACGAAGAGTAAGATGGGGCGGCTGGAGAGTATGTTGATGATGGAACATAGCTTATTGGATTAGATCATAATATCAAAAAGCATGTTATCTTCCAACGCATGGGATAATAACTCAGCTGGGAGAGTGTACGACTGAAGAACAACTTCTGTCTCTGTTATCGTAAAGTCGCCAGTTCGAGCCTGGCTTGTCCCATTTCTTTTTTACAGCCGCCACTTTGTCTCGCCGCACTTCTTGCGGTCGGCTGCGGCACTGTACTTCATTCTTGTAGTTCATAGGGAACCCCTTTAATTCAGTCTGAAAGCGCTTGAGATCGAATAGTTTCCTCTGGTAACTCAACGTGTTTCTAACACGGATATTTTTTTCTTTCTTCACGGAATAGTTTATTTTTGTCCAGCATACCTTGGTTTCTAGGTAGTAAAACTAGGTACACCTACAGGAGCCGATACCTCCGGGCGACTGGCGCCCTAGCTGGAGTAGAAATTTATACACCCGACCCAAGGCCGTTCAATTCGTTGTCACCGACTCACCAATATGGACATCCATGGACATTCAGGGACAAAAACCATTCATCTCAGCCCATACTACATATGCGATAAACAAGAGAGGTAGATACTTATAGGCCGCGTAACACAGCCATCTATGTACTACGTACCAATAGTCCATATTCCAGCATGACTGTGACATGGATATCTTGGATGGATTGACCTTGGAATCCACCTGGTTCTAACACCTAGGTACCTGGGAGATCGGGCTGGCGCTGGTGTGTGCTCACTGCTCACTGCTCCAGTGCTCAATATATGCCGAACGGATGAAGCCTACATGGATGACGATAAGATTCCCGAAAAGACCTCGGCCATTCCCGACAACCTAACAAATACGTGGTACATGAGTAGCTCATGCAATTAAACGCATGCTTGGGCTTTGGTCTTCCAAAAAAAACCTGGCCAATCTACTCATGAAAGGATAGCCGAGTCGCATAACCTGTAGCCGTGGCCGCGGTATTTAGCACCCGGTGGAAGTGAGCTGTTAATCACCAGGTGCCAACCAGAAGGAAGGGTATAAAATTGCTATCAGCCCCGAAGTGAATTACCTTACCACCAAGCGACGTGAGCTCGTCGCCGCGAAGTAGCAAGAGCTGTGGTTGGCACTTCTAGTAACTTTCAATTGTTTCCTAGAGGTACGAATGCGCTGGCAAAGCACGCATAGAACCTGCCCAGATGACCGGAGAGCGTTCGGCTCACCGATTGCCAGACAAGGACCTGCCATCCGTACCAATGGAATTCTTGATCTCGCCACGAGGATATGATCACAGCAGTGAATGCGTCCTAGTAATCTATTCTCACGCAGCAGCCTGGATGTTCTGTCGTCAACGACAACTTCCTCGTATCGGCAATCAAGCATGAATGCCCGTGGCTTGTCGTTCCCCTGGAACGACAGCGAGAGTCTAGAAAGTATCCTCCTCAGGGCGCTCCGTCCGCCTGACAATGGCGGGGCTATCGTCGTCAAAGTCTTCGGTAAGATCCCCCGCTCCGGCAGTGGCGAGCAGATCTGTCACGATGCGCTTGGATGCTTCCTTCGCTTCAGACGACAGTCAGCACAGATAGACTCTAATTGGACTAGAATGATGCCCTCTGAATTAAAGAGGCAGTATTCCCTCACTTACCAGGTGTCTTCATTAGTCGACTCTGCGGAATATGAAACTGCATGGTTTTTGGAGGACTAGGGCCAAAATTATCGGCGTCCAAATCATCATCACTGTCCCATACGGGTCGGTGACCACCTTGCCTTTTCGCCGGGGTCAAAACACTAATTCCAGGCTTTGGGGTCCCGCGGACAAGATTGCTGCTGGTTCGTCGCTTGCGGTTCGTCCCTGGAGTGGCATCGATGCCCTTGATGGGGGATGAGAAAATCTCAGAATGGAGGCGCGGCGCTTCAGGCTCGGGGCTGGAGATTGGCGAATCGTCGGGAGCGTGCCGAGAGCCTGACGTGACAGCCGCGGCCGCCTGCGGAGTGACTGTGTACTTGGATTGCGTAGTCGCACCGTAGCCCGTGTTGTGGAACCCTTTCCCAAGCGGAGTGGCCTGGACGCGGTATGTTCTGTCCAACACACGATGCAGCACAGGATCAGAAGTTTTCTGATATCGAGAGTCCCCACGCGATGCCGAGGCATACTTCGCCGAGGACACTGGCGGAACGAAGGGGGAGGACATGGGAGTAACTGAGATCTCGGGAGGTAGGAAGGTCTGACGACCTGGTGTGGATGGTAGTGTAGATGAGTCGGGCATACCGAATGGCGCTTTATCTTCGTTGATCTGCCTTCGCAGGTCTTCGTAAGAGGAAGAACGCTCGAAGGAGGCAATGGTATCATCCTCTTCAGACGGCTGAGAGGCCACGCGCGGGGTACTGTGAGAGGAGATTCCATGCTCGGTAGAATCGGCATCCTCATGCTGAGCCAGGTGCTTCATGTGAGGGCGAGAGGAAGGTGTGTCGTAAGTGTGCTCGCTTTGGTCTGCGGACGTAGTCTGCGTTACGTCGACGGAGAGCTCTTCCTCAGTCGCCGTGCTTTCTTGGACTGAATCGTCGGTCTCGGGTTTCTCTTCGTACCCAGAAAGCGAGACATTGGCACTGGCCTCGAAGAATTGTTTCCAGAACTATGTGCGCATGAACTCAGTGCTGTTTGCGGAGGACCTGAAATATGAAGGTCTCTGATGGAGAAGGCGTTGCGTACCTTGGCACCTTCCCAGACATCGCGAGAATGCTCTGTATACTGCTCTACCAGGGGTAATATGCTGGTTGTAACAATTCGGTGGGCTTGGCTGAAGTTGTGGTCGATCTCTATAACCATGAGCATGAGGCATAATAACTTGTTGACAGTGAACAGCCTACCCTGAAGTGTAAGAGTGATGGATTGTTCCAGCTTCTCCAACTCTTCCGTCAGAGTCAACGGCCTTTGAAATTGGGAAGACTGCTGAGACATCTTTCGAGTCTGTCCCACGGAATCACGAAATATGCTTTTAAGATCACGATTTCATGAATTTGTTCCAACGGCAGCTGAGAGACGCGGCGGGGGAATACAACCAAAAGCGGTGTACAATCCGCGGGGATCACGAGCCGCTGGTCATACACCCCCTAGTCATAAGTATCCGGACAGTACGCGAGCCTCCTGCATAAGTGATGATGTTCAAGAAGTCTCAACTCCAAAAATATATATTATAGCCATGAGCAACAAGCCGGCCTATTACTAAAAATCAGTTAAACGACATGCTCAAAATATTATATCTTGGTATATGGGTTCGCTTAACAAGAGATTTGTACTTAATATAGGCTGAAATTTACTTAAAGTATCTTTTACTAGTGGATACATATAAAAGGTACCGCCAAGACCTCCAAGAACTTAACTACATCACCCCTATCACAGTTTTCTCACCGCTCGAAATCTAGAAAGTAAAAAAAATACATCGTATCCTCGATTTCTATAGTCGTGATTATATTCTGGCAGTGCTGAAGATAGCAGGCTTTGTTAGTGTCGAGAAAGTGGTCTTCGCATATGGGGCTTAAGTACATTTAGTATGGGAAAATTGGCACTGTCCGGGAACTTATGTAACGGGTTGTATATACCCGTTCATCAGTCAGACACGTCCACATCGGCACATCCCATCTACAACCTCATCATCTACATATTATTTCATCGATGCACCTAGAGTATGATGAAAATAGAATGACATGGCTTATCTGACTGCCAGCAGGAGTTGGAGATCTTCATACTGTATCAAGCTCATGAGTACTCCTCTAACGCCGCCTCAAGACACCCAAGAGCCCACCAACAAGGACACGCGATACTCTAGTACTCTACTACTAAATGAACTATGACAAGTACCTACTTACTAACTAGGTAACTTACTGACTAGTACTATTTGACAAAGAGGCGGTCACTGGTTCCAAGGAGGTTTTAATGTACGATTTGATCTATATCAAATAGAAATGTCATGTTTTACGAGTTGCCAAGGATCAAGTCACCCATAGGCTCTGATATATAGAAGAGACTAGAGATTGTTCTACAGTAATGAACTTAGCATATGACCCTCCTTAAAGACCGTTCAAACAGGTTCACAACCTCACAGGCGCTCAGCCTCAGAGTGGCGCGGCGGGCGGGTACCAAGTCCGCTGCTAATGTGCTCAGGTACTCCAGAGTCCAGACTATCGCCACTGCCAGGGATCAGAGGGTGTCATGTGCTGCGGGGGTTTATGTAAGAACCAGCATCCAGGCATCATCGATAATCCTGGACGAAGGTTTCTACGAAAAGTGGTTGGAGCTTTTGAAGGAGTCTTTGCCCAAGGAGTGTTCCCATAGAAGAGGAAGAAGTCCCATGCAGTAGGCATAACTCATTCGACATGCCAGCTCCTCTTGCTAAAGGTATGTGAAATACGTGATGCTTTGTTGAGCCCTCCGACGAGGGTCACCTTACCAGGGGCGTTCCGCGTTTGCACTCTCTGCCAAAAAAGCTACGTTCTGACCAATCTGGGGAATAGGGATCATCGTCACAGTCTCTGTTCTAGTAGCGGCCGGCGTGGCGGTTTACCAATCGCCCCAATTTCAGCAGTGGGTGACCAACTCTCGACGAAAAATCGCCGTAGCCCTGCATAACCTCGGCGATGAGGTTCAACCACGCGGCTCAGTCTCTCCAGACCGAGAAGACATTTCCATGAGCGAAGAGATCGGAGAAGCCGCGGAAGAACGTAGGCGCATCGCCAAGGCAGAGATCAGACGTCGGGCCACTCTTTTGGAAAGTCGGCGCAAAAGCAGGACATCCTTGCAAAACCAAGGGAGCTTTGATACCCTCGTTGATGCGGATGGCAATCTCCGCGCATCAAGTAAGGATGTGAGCTCTGCGCACGAAGCTCCTGCGGATGGTCACTCTACTGCCTTGGACGTGGGAGCCATGCAGCCGGCGGTGCGCCGAGGAGTACTGAATGACGACGCCATCAGCCCTAGTGCTGAACGGCCCGACCTCCACGTCGACATTCTTTCGGAGACAACATCCAACCACCCGTCGGAGGCTATTTTGCAATTTACACCAACCTCGGAAGTGCCATCAGAGTTGCTGTTTGATCCATTCGCTGACTCTCCTCTTCGATCGCAGACACCTGTGTCTGCTGCGGCATCCAGCCACACCGAAGCCAACGAACAGGTC